GTCTGTGCAAAAATAGTTAAAATGTTGTCTGGTTCTTAAGTTGCGGAATTTCCCACTAAAAATTTCGCGCACACGAGATAATAATTTCTCTGTAAAAACTTTCACGGGACTGTACCAGGGGTGCGTGAAGGCTGAGTCCAAATTTGCGAGGTCGTACGTTTGTAGAGGAGACCAGCCCTAAAATTTCAGATTCTCAACTTCCACGGCCCCCGAGATAATGATTTTCCTTGCCGAAACTCCCACGAGGCCGCAAGTGGTACTCGGACGCGTGGAAAGCTGAATTTAAAATTGCAGGATTGTATGTGAACAGAAGACATTGCTATAAAATTTCAGCTTCCTGGCTTTTACGGCTCCCGACATAATAATTTCTCCACCGAAATTTTCACGGGGCCGTAGGTGTTACCCGAAAGCATAGAAAGAGTGAATTTGAATTTACGACATCGTAAGTAGGTAGGGGGGGGGGGTCATTACTGCAAAATTTTATTTTCCTGGATTCCCTGGTTCTCGAGATAATAATTTACCCGCTAAAACTTTCACAGGGGGCGCAGAAAAGCTGAATTTTAATTTTCTAGGTCACGTGTGGGCAAGGAACATACCCATAAAATTTCAGTTTCATAGATTCCGCGGTTTCCGAGATAATAATTTACTCGCAAAAATTTTCATGAGGCCGTAGGCGATATCCGAGAGTGCGGGAACGCTGAACTTGAATAGGCAAGGTCGAGCGTGGGGAAGGGGTCATTGCCCTAAAATTTCAGTTTCCTAGACTTCGTAGTTCCCGAGATAATAATTTACCCGTCAAAAATTTTCACGAGGCCGTACATGTTACGCGCGGGCAGGAGAAAGCTGAATTTAAATTTTCTGGGTCGCTTGTAGGCAAGGTACATGCCCACAAAATTTCAGCCCTCTAGCTACCGTGGTTCCCATGATAATAATTTTACTCGCCCAAACTCCTATGGGACCGTACGTGTTACCCGCAGGTACGAGGAGACTGAAATTTTAAATTTGCAGGGTCACACGTGGGTAGGGAACGTTACCCTAAATTTTCAGCTTCCTAACTGTTGTCGTTCCCAAGTTAAAAGTTGCGAACAAGTTGCTGCGGACACACACACACACACAGACAAACTCGTGGTAATATGCGTTTCGTACTACTGTTACACAGCACAAAATGCATAAAAAACAAAATTAAGAATTACATAACAAAATTAATTTTATTAAAATAAAATTAAAAGCTAAATTAAAATTAAATTAAGAAATGCAAATTGAATGAACATAAATTTTCATGAAATGCTGGAGCTGCAATCTCTTGCCTTCTGCTTATCTAGGAACTGCGTAAGACTCTTTGCGTGCTTTTTTCAGATTGGAAGACTGCATCTAAAAAAAGCATGTTTGCCTCCGTTTAGAGACATTTCGGCTAAGGAACCACATGTCTTACCAAGCTTGTGTTTTGGGTATATAACTGCAGATTGTATGGGGACTACAAAGCCTGAAATTAACTGGGCGATCTTTTCGTGCTTCCACTTATGATTTCAGGTTTAAATTGGGGACTAGATGCATAATATCTAACTAATTTCTGGGTTTAGCTGAGGCCATGCTACAAGCACTCTCCTCTCTCTGATCCCCCTTTAAGGACTTTGGCTTGCAACCTCATGCTCAAACACTGTCAAGCAAATGTAATGGGGCAAGTTATAAATCTGACAGTGCGTGTAATATTTTCAAAAATCATCTTTGCTTGTTCTGACTCATTCTTTCTCCACGTACAGAATACTGTAGTAATGCGTGTTCGAACATATCTTAGGTCTAATCTGCGTTGCCCCTCACTAACTTTTCATAATCAGACTGAATGGAATTCCTCAGAAGGGAACTTATTCCTGCTAAGCTTTTGTTTTATTCAAAAGTTCACAGATGAAACATAATATTTGTGAGTGTATTTCTCATTTTTAAACGCTTCTTAGCAGTTCACAACTGATTTTTAGCACTTTTTCAACAATTTTTGTTTCCAAATAGGTTCGTAGTGTAAAATTCGTCTGCCTCAAATGGCCTAAATTTCAGCTTCAGTCAAAGATTTTATGCGCAGTATGTTTAAAATGCGATCCTTGCAAACGTGATTACTAAATTATGCAGATCATT